CTAGGGAAATAGAGATAACAAACAGGCTCTTAATCTCTACCGAACATGCATTTACTTTTTTGTTTTAAGTTAAAATGTTTGTTGTCATATATTTTGAAGACAGTTAATTTGGAACCTATACAAGTTTAAAAAAAGATAATTCATATACCTCTAAATTCTCAAATTTTCCAAGTTGTCGCTTAAAATAGAAGTTAGTGTGGGATGTTATTGTCCCAACCTCAATGGTACAAAGTAAACTCTCTTGAAAGAAATTTTTGACCTATAACCTATGAGGAAACTAATAAATGAAAAAGGGTATGGTGCAATGTTAAAGAACTATTTGAAGGGAAGTGCAAGTAACGCTATCTCTCGAGTTTTACCCACCCCCCCGGGAAAAAAGAAAAAATTGTTGTCTGTCAACAAAGATAACATAAGGATTGAAAAGTTTGATTTTAAAATTCGAAGACGAAAATAAAAAAATAAATTTTATATTTATAATATATTAAATATCAAATCAAGTGTATTATGAAAAAACCTATTAAAATTTCCTACTGCAAATTTTTTTTTTTCTATAATACATTACTTTTCTTTTTTCAATGTGTAATAAATATTATTCTCAATTAATTAACGTTCAAATTAATCTAGATTTAATAAATCTTGACTTGATGACTTTTAATTTACATGAATCTAGAGTTATTATATATGAATTTATTTCTATTAATGTATTTAGAAATTTCAATGGGTATTTAAAATTATTTATTAGCAATTAATTCTTATGTACCAAATTTAATATAAAAAGTTGTTCATTTGTAGTATTTCATTATTACAAAAAATTTGAATCATAGAAGTTGAATTTTTTGAGTACAATTTTCTTTTCTTAAATTTTTATTCTAAATTTTATTTTCTTTAGTTCGTTTAAAACTCATTAAATCATCCCAATAAATTGATATCAAATATCACTTTTACAACACTTATAAAATATTTTCGAATAACGTGTCATGCACGTTCTAACTCTTACTTGTATTCCTAAAATTCTCAACTCTTTTCAACATGTTGCTCTACAAAGAAGTTAATTATAATTTTTTTTTTAAAGTTTATTATAATTTTTTTAAAAGTTTTACTTTTTTGAACAGATATTTTTTTCAAAGTTATTAATTGCTAGTTAATATCTCCTTAATACTCTCATTTACAATAGCAGCTTAAGCCCACGTTTGGTTTTAGTTACAAAAATTAATTTAAGTCAAAATTATTAATTAATTTTAATAACATATTTATGATACCCACATCTTTTCATTCACATATTTCATCAACTTTAATTAAAATATACTCAAAACATTATTTTTACTTAAACGAAACATGTGATAAATGTAATTCTACCTAGAGGTGTCAATTCGGGTGGTACGGGTCGGGTCGGCCC